CCCCCCCCCCCGGGACTAAAGATCATGGTCACAGATTTGCAGAATCCAGCTCTCTTTGCTCTGCTTTATGACAGGTCACCAGAAGTTCCTCAATTCACTTGTGTTGAAACTGCAACTGAGAACAGAAAGTCACTTGTGTTATTTAAGTAAGCGGGAAGCAATCAAGTCTAAAATTCACGTCTACTACTCGCAAAAACTGGAATGCGAGAAAAATTAAAGTTTCAAAATTTAATACTATGTCACGTTACAACAGAAAATAATTCTTAAATTAAAGTTGCTATAAGTCTTGGACTTGATCGCAATGATTTTAGGCAGGAGCCGATTACTGTTTTAGGTAATTCAAACATGGTTCTTTTTCTTAGATTTTTCCATATTTTCTCTCTGCTTCATTATCATCTGTGTCCTACAGTATAAATCTTTCAAAACCATCTTTGGTACATTCACTAAACTTTATGGTCGGCTCTTTCTTTTTGGCGCTGGTCTTTTTCACTGAGCAGATCAAAGAATGGTATTATACCCTTTGTAACTTCGGTATATGTTTCTCCTAAATCGCGGAATACGATTTCTGAATTTTCGCGCGAAAATTTGTAAGAATGAGATTCACTCTAGACGTATATCTACTTATCGTGTTGTGGTGCGGGGACTGTTTAGGCCAGGCTCTATGATTAATTATGGCTCCTGGTTTAGGCTGCAAGTAGTTCCCTATTTTCTTCAAATTAATGCTTTTAGTGCAGCAAGTACACGCACAGGAGAGAGACACCCTTAGTCACGCGATTGGTCATTTTCGTGTATCGCGCCTTTCGTTCTGTGGACTGATAAAACGGAGACTGCTCGAAGCGTCTAGGTACTGTTAGGTTACAGTAACTCGCGAAACTGGCCTTGTACCTATTTTTGACCGAGTAGAGAAAGGCTCACCTTTATTTCTTCGTTTTAGATTCTGTTGGCAACTGTACGTGGACGAATTTTATTCTTGTCTCGGACAAACCAATGGCGACAAGAGGCTGATATAAACAGGCCCCCAAACAGAGCGGTCGCTCACCAATGTCTAAAATACTTAGTAGATCTCCGGTTCTGATATTATACAATCGAAGGAAGTTGTCCTCACTGCAGCATACTAGAGATTCATCATCTAAAAACTTGCATTTAACAATATCTTTCTGGTCTCTAAGAAAGACGTGCAATGTCTCTCCAGTTTCCGCTTTAAGAACGTGTATACCTTGGCCCCCGTCGAGAGTGTTCCACGCAACTACACAATCATTTTTGGGTGAAAAAGTCATGTCTGGGTTGAACAGGTGCATTGAATTGGCAGAAAATGTCGTGTGTCTTTCCCATCTTGTGATACCTTCATTCCTCAAACTCACTGTTACATTCTCCTTGTCTACAAGGCCGTGATTTCCAATCATTATGACCCTGGAACTACAAACCAGCACTTGGCTTAAACTGCTACTGCAAGAGATGCAGTCTAAGCTTTCGTTAACGCCAGCGGATTTGATCCTTAGCGAGGAAATAAGCTTTCCTCCAAGGTTGGTGACGTCTGTGAAGTCAACGCAATCGAAGTTACCTTTTGAGCATTCTAACAAATCTGCTTTGGACGATTCTTTGTTTTCCTCCCGGTTTTGTGAGTTTCTGATGCATTTTAATTCGTATGATCTCGGTTGGTAAAAGAATGCTATCCGACTATCGGATACAGGGAACATGTTAACTCTGTATAGCTTAGCAGTCTTAGAAGTAAGTTCCACAATACGTTGATTACACTCAGACAGATCGAAATTCCAGAGTTCTGCTACTATCCGCGGTTTTTCACTAGTAACGAGTACGACACCTGTCTTCATTGGAGCGATAGATGTAGGACTAGAGAAGGTCTTTGACGTCAGGATTTCTCGAGTTGACATTCTCCAGACAGTGATTGAAGAAGGAGGAGATGACAAGAACATGGATTTTTCAGAAATAATGAAGTAGATCGTATCTCCTTCCAGAGAAAATACAATTTCTCTTTTATGCAAGTCGATTATTCTCTTCGTGTCCGTGAAATCAGACTCACTCTGAAGTATGCCAACATTTAACATCATAACATAGTTGTGCTCCGGGCTGCCAGCCAATACTGTTTCATCGTCAAGTCTGAGGGAGAAACCCGCAAATAAATTTGGCATCCTTCTTTGAATTTTTTTTAACCAGGAAGAGCTCTTGTTCTGCTCCGTAAAATCATTTTTCGTCAAAGCGCCTGATAGAACACGAGGCCACAAGACGAAGGGTGTAAATTCTGCTTCTTCCAGATTCTTTTTTCCAGGTAGGTGAATGTTATTTAAAGGCGTAATAAAATTAAACCCAGGTATTCCGTTATAAGCGCTTTCGCAGTAGAGGCAAGAAGCTTCATCTGCGCAAGTAGAATATTGAAAGCCATAAACAAGCGTGTTTTGATCGGATGTAAAGCGCAAGAATCCACAAGGTCCTTGTTCTCCAGAGGAAATGATATTTAAACGAGAGTTTTCTTTTAAGTTAACTATAGTAATTGTATCATAATCATCCCTTTCCGAAACAGCAATCAACGACCCATCATCAGAAACGGCAAAGGAAAAAATGTCTTTACCGTAATCGATAGATAAAAGGTTTCGGCCATTTTCCATATCCCAAAAGTTAATCCGCTTTGGCTGCGTCGGGCAATGTGTGATAATGACGTTCTTGTCGACGGGAGAACGTACAACACATTTTGAGAATGTACAGTCACTTTCTGGAAAAAGGTCTTCTTTCTCTCCACTCAAGGTGTAAACATATCGAAGAGTTCCAGGTAGTACCGACCTCCCATTTGGATGAAAGATGACAGAATGATAAAATGACAAAAAATGCTCTATCTGATGATATGCACCACTCACATTTGCATTTCTAAAACCGTACTCTCTTGTTATTGGTGATCGTCGAACCCATACTTTGATACCAGTCTGCAGGGAAAACAGATGGATTGTTTGGTCTCGACACTCGCATACTATGTAATCCAATTTAGGTGAAACATCGAAACAAGCGATTTTATCTGAACAGTAGAACCTTGCTTGCTCTGCTCCCGTCTGTTCCTTATTATTATCTAGGTTTTTCATGTAGGGTATTGTGGGGAAAGATGATTCGACGATACTTGCTGCTTCAGACGATAACAGAGGAATCCCTTCGTTAATCAAACATTGGAAAAATAGGTGAGGGTGATCTAGCAACATATCATAATGTTTTCTTAGAACATTATAGAGCAGTGTTGCAATTGAAAGTCTTTGCTCATTCAGTAGACCCGAATGTTCATTGCAAATACGGAAAGGCTCCTCCGTGGCAGATGTTCTATTTACACAGAATTTTGCGTACATAAGCTCTAGGTCCGTCAAATACTGGTATACCTGATTGGATGTGCCAGTCATGGACCCTGAATCATCAATCCATTTATGATCATCATTGGCATCAAGCATGTGCTGGACAGTATGAATCAAAGCATAACTTTCAGTAGTGGTGAACTGTCTGCCATGAACCCCTTTTCGCTTGATGCTATCGAGTTCAGAAGCACAAAGATCAGAAAGAACGTCATGACCTTCTTTCTCGTCCACGGTGAAATCATGTTGTTCATAGGGCGATGATGCTGTTATCCAGTCCTTAATTGACTTGTGAAAAAAGTGAAGACGACCCTCGCGAACTGGTAACAGTGTAGAGATGCAACATATTGCTTTGTTAACTTTTCGCTGCGCGGTCAAAGACTTTTCGCCAGGGTATAGAATTTTGGCAATGAATTCTACTGGTAATGGTTCTCTTGAAGCTGTCAATGCACACAGGAAACGCAAAAAATGTTCCTCATCTGCATGAAGCTCTTTGCAAAGTTCATTCTCTAACCGTTTGAAATAGGACAAGTAAACGGATGAAATACCTGAAGGCAATACGCTTTCCAGCTGATCAGGGGTGAGAACTGAAACATTCTTTTGGATAAAATCCACTATAAAATAAGCGTAAATAAACGGGCCTTCTGATTTCTTAACCAGCTCTTTCAAGAGAACATCTTTATGCTCTTCACCAATTTTGTTGCTGAGTTGATTTTCAAACAAGGTTTGAATGTCATTTAAGTTCTCTTCTTGCTTTTGTTTAAGCTCGATTGGCTCTAAATGTCGAAATGCCTCTGTTATGCTCCTCTCTGGACGAGTTGTGATCAAAATTCTAATCCAAAGTGGAAGCATAGAAAAGTGGTTACTGATTACATGTAGAAGCTCATTTCGTCCTTTGTACTCGCTTTCATCAAGGCCATCAATGACTGTTAGGGTGTTTCTTCCAGGATCTTGTACTGTGTTTAGAGGCTCTTTGAACNTCATCTGCATGAAGCTCTTTGCAAAGTTCATTCTCTAACCGTTTGAAATAGGACAAGTAAACGGATGAAATACCTGAAGGCAATACGCTTTCCAGCTGATCAGGGGTGAGAACTGAAACATTCTTTTGGATAAAATCCACTATAAAATAAGCGTAAATAAACGGGCCTTCTGATTTCTTAACCAGCTCTTTCAAGAGAACATCTTTATGCTCTTCACCAATTTTGTTGCTGAGTTGATTTTCAAACAAGGTTTGAATGTCATTTAAGTTCTCTTCTTGCTTTTGTTTAAGCTCGATTGGCTCTAAATGTCGAAATGCCTCTGTTATGCTCCTCTCTGGACGAGTTGTGATCAAAATTCTAATCCAAAGTGGAAGCATAGAAAAGTGGTTACTGATTACATGTAGAAGCTCATTTCGTCCTTTGTACTCGCTTTCATCAAGGCCATCAATGACTGTTAGGGTGTTTCTTCCAGGATCTTGTACTGTGTTTAGAGGCTCTTTGAACAGCAACGCAAACAGCTCTTTAACACTCATGTTGTTGAGGTCTTTACCCAGATTTCTTGACAACTGTTCCACTAGAGCATCTTTGTAATTTGGCATCGCTTGACACAAGTGACAGGCCAAAGACTGGAGCATTAAACGTGGATCTCGGTACCGTGAATCGTCATGCTGACAAAAGTGGCTTCCCGAACCGGTCTTCCAGCTTTTTGAATTCTTTGCGAAACAACAGCGGAGATAACAGTCTTTCCCATCCCTGGATTTCCACTGATTACCATCAACCGATGTGGTGATGCTCGGTCATCTAACCAGTTTTCAATGCTTTTGAAGATCCACTCACGAGTTCCTTCCTGGAATTTGTTTGCATGAAATTCTATGTCTCCTTTGAATTCCGACTTCACAAGAGTTCTTAGCACTTCATCTGCCTGCTCGTTTCTCTTTTTCGTCAAGCTTTTTACTTCCTCTTTTACCACTTGAATTGACGCACGAATTTCATCTTGGGACTCACACACTCCCTCTAAACGTGACTGTGCTGCCCTCATTTCTTGTTTTCCTTTGAGTTCTATTTCCACTGCTTCATCTACGACATCCTGAGTTTTGCTTAGGGCAACTGCATCGAGAAGGTAGAAATTTAACGATAGAAGTTGACAAAATGACTCAAATTCAACGCAGACCACCTATAGGAAGTCGACACAAAAATACAGGAGAAGTGACACAGCCCACTCAATTAAGGCATCAAGGAAATCTTCCTCTCCTCCCTGCTCTGCCTTCAGTCTGTCAATCTCAGCTTGATCTAAACCGAGCGAATGAAGAGTGGTGCTTTTTTCTTGCCAAAATATAGAGAAAGATGTCGCATCAACCCCTGTTGACGTAACGTGACCATACAACTCATTCCGAAAGAACTTAACGCGAGCAAGGTTAGCCTCACGAGAGTTGTCACCAGGGGATGGCTTGGTGTGCCATCCTGTCAGGGGAGGGGATAAACCACAAATGTTGGTTAGTAGAAGGAACAGGAGAGTGATGTCAAACGTGTTGGAGTCTGGTAGCCCTCCACCAGAGGGGAAGAGTTTGTCCCACTGATGGCCATTTAGCACTCTTCTACGCAAAAGGTTGTTAAGAATGGAGTAATTGGAATTGAGATCAGAAGTTAAGTTGGTAGGAGGGTGAATAGCATCAAAAATATTCCTCAGTGCTGTTGTTCCACCATCAATAAGCAGTCTGCCCAGCTTGTTACCATTTGTCTTCTCTCTTGAGCTGGCCAGAGGTGAAGGTGCTGCTGTCGCCATTTATCAACCTTGATGCAGAAGATGTTCATGTCTTGGAAATTCATTCTGGACCTACGTTGACAAGAAAAATATAACGTGGGTCACTACAACGATTAACTCGCTGCGTTACTGTTTTTGCTTTGTTTTTATGATTACAATACCATGAAACCAAGACGAAGTCATCCGTAAAGAGAATTAGAGAATATTGTTAATACGTGACAATTAATAGGAATACGATCATGATTATATATATATGTTGCGGTTCAAATTTTCCCTTGGTTTAAAATTTTTCAAACCAGTTTAATTTTTACTTTCCTTTGTCTAAAATCAATTACCGTAATCAGAGACAAAGAAAAATAAAAATTAAACTGGCTTGAAAAATTTTAAACCTAGGAAAAAAAACCACAACATATATAAAATTTACAACCAATCCCCTCAAGTAGAGTGTTTAACATATTAGCTGTCGAGGGTATTTAGTGCAGTGAACCGAACTGGAATTACGATCGTGGATGATTTGAGTTGGCTAACCGAACGCATTAAAAGGACAAGAGCCGTGGAGTCCTAAAGTTCCGCTTTATTAGATATTCAGGGGGCTATTAATAGTAATTGCTTTAATTATACATGGAGTTTCCTTTGTGCATAGAAGCAAATACGTAACATGAAAAGTTTCGAAATCATTTACTGCCAGGTCGTTTGTTAGAACCAAACATTATACATTATCATTTTATTTCAAGCCAACTGAATGAACAATTTATCGGTCTATTGAATTGCAAAGAGAAGGAGGGTGAAAAATATACATAAGCAACACAACATTAACGAGCAAAACAAATGTGGAAATTGTCGACAACGCAGACATATGACCATATTAATTTTCCGATATCCGCGACACTCAATTTGAGGAAGTAACTCACCCTCTGATTGTCATCAATACAAATAATTGCCTGTAGATGTAATAGGGTATTTTGAATGTTAAAGAACGGTAATGCAAATTGATATTGAAGCCGTATAATGAATTAGTAGTTTTACTAGTAGTTTCACTACCTGTAAGTCATCACTTGATTGTATACACTCAGAATTAAATGACCACTGGATTTCGTCCCGGGGATTTCGTTCACTTTCACGTGAATTCTTTACAAGTTTTCTGATAAACGTGCTGCTTTTTTATCTGTTTTTCGCGAAAAGCAGAAGAGCTGTCAGTGAGCTGTTATCAACCGTGTCAGCTTTTTAGCGTGCACCTTACTTTATGGGCCACGTTTACCTACGAGGTTAACAGGGAAGGGAAAAGAGAAGCATAAACTTGCAGATCGATGCAGACATCATCAGTAGACAGAAAAAAGGTAAACGACGTACTTGCATGTACTTGAACTGGCCGGTCACAGCTGTTCATTGTTCAAACCCGCCTGGTGTTGTCTAGGAGGAAATATAAAGATGTGCGATCTTTCTAGGGTGGCAAAGGATATTCTTTCGTTCGATATTATTGGGAGGTAATGGCGACAGAAAGCTTTGAATTAAAAATTGCTTTGAGCAAGAAGTTAGAAGCTAATAGAGCTTAAGAGAGACTAAGGGGAAATATAATGTCTGCTTCGTGGAATGTTTATTCGTTTCTTACGCTCTCTGCTGAAAATGTTCTAGAAGCTTTGAAAGTTGCAAGATGTTGGCATCAATATTAGAGGTTTCTTCAGAATCCCAAACGTAATTTACAGAAGTAATCTAAATAAAATTGCACTACATAGTAAAAGTAAAATGTCGAGGTGGATACATTAAGATGCCTCGATAAATGCCCTCTGAAACGATCTGTGGAGTACACAAGACCCTGAAGCTATTTTTTGATAAACTTACCTCTCTGCTGGCACATTCTCTAACGAAGCCTCTTCCGTGTGGATCCCTGGACATGTTTCATTAAGAAACAAAGTGTTCTAAGTGACGTGGCCCATCGATGAATCTCAAATTTAAACAGTTTGAGTGCGACAAACTCCTGTTTTTATTTGCATAGACTTATGTTGCTTGATTGTTTCGATAACTTTGCAATTAGAAAAAGTGAGTGCCATTTATGTTTTGCATCAATGAGTACCAATCGGCAAGCGCTTATTTATGATCCAACAAATGGGGGCAAAAAGGAAAACGGCCCACGAGGAAGGCACGTCATGCAGGCTATCTCATTCCCTCCAACAGAACTGTAGTTTAAAAAAGCTGCTGAGGAGGACGATAATGGAATTGAGAATGTACAAACTTAACTGATATCTGGATACATGCAGTTGAACCTCGATACAACCCCTACGTAAAGAAGGACATGGACGCCGCCAGTATAAGTAATCATATTCTTCGCCCCAGTCAAAATAGGAAAAGTAACTATGGAACAACAAGACCCCCCTATTGAAGAACCCAGATGTAGAGTTTCACGGAACACTTTTATTACCAAGGAAATTAAATAACCTTTACATCACGGAGACATTCGTCTGTGTATGTGGCAAACGTTCCGAGGCAAATTTTCCATGGCAAATGTCTATGGACAGGAGCCCATAACCTTGCCATGGATAAAAAGCTAATAATTACTATTATTGTGGTATTGTTTTCAATATGGAAATAAATTTACCACGTGTTGTAATTGCACCTAGTAAAAAGAAGGTATATAAAAGTTATATTGGGTGCCAAGAGAGGATCCTCTCTTGAGTGGTCTGTTTCCATACAGTCAAACCTCGCTTAATACGGACACCTCGTTATTATGGACAGTTTGCTTTGTCCCTGGGGAAAGAAAGTCCTTACATTTTCTCTAAATTCAACTCGCTTAATATGGACACCCCGTTTATACGGGCACTTTCTATGGTCCTCTTACTGTCCCTATGAAGGAGGTTTGACTGTACTTTGTACTTCACACTGTACTGGGACGGTGATTATACAGGGGTTATATCAAGATGTAATTGTACAACATAACACCATACATTATCCCAGTTCTTCAGTGGCAATTTGCTACCTGATTTCTTGATTGTGCCACGAGGTTGACCTTATAAGATGCACAGTTCGTAACATATCCGGAAAATGAAATTGTGGAAGTCGAGTAATGAATTGGTTTCATTACCAGCCATTTTTCGAAAGGAAAAGAAACCAGACCCTCGCCCTTGCTCTTTACTCTAACTGTTAGCAGCAGGAACGGGAACGTGAGTTGTCAAAGACGCGCGCAAATCAAGCAACGGGCTTGACCAATGCCAGAGCTGTAACTTGTGCACAGGAAGCCACGTGTAGTCCTTTCTGCGCGCTTTTCCGTCGTCAACTGACATTCCCATTATGTTGCTAAATCAGCCTAGCAACAACATGGTAACATTACCATGCCAGCAGGCGGAGGTTTCTTTTCGGAATGGCTTTTAGTATTTATGAAGTCCTTTTCGCAGCTATAACATTCGCGTAGTTGGCTTGTTTACAAACTATATGCAGGAACAGACAAACCTCTGCAAGCAGGGAAGGTCACGTGTCTGGATCTAAGAACTTTGATAAAGAGGAGTTAGGTAAGAGAGGATCGAGTAGGGAAGTTCAACTCATTCGTTGAATCTGTTTAACTGCTAATAATTTTCACCCCTTCTAGCCGTTACACATTACGTCTACAAGGAAACGTCAACTATGTAGACCACAACATGATCATCGTGCAACACACAACTTTAACTATTATATAACCTAAACTCAAGTTGACGCGCTTGTCAAGTCTCAGAAACACAGTGTGGTGCAGTCCGGGTCATGGAACCGAGTGTTAACATGACCCGAACATCACTACCGTACATTAGTATAGTTTTTTTTACTATAGTGTTAAGATGTGAATCACTTTCAGACATCTGTAACATTCACAAAAAAGCTATACAGAAAAAAACATATTCACAACGTTCTTCTTGTCGGTTTAGCTGTACGTTTTGCCCATATTTCGTCAATTTATATAACAAGCCATTGGTTTGAAAAAGGTGTACTGATCATGATTATAAAGGGTGAAAAACAAGTTCCATCGTAAGCTACCAAATGAAGGCTGTATGCGAATGTTCAGCTTTTTTTCCAGTTTCAAAGCAGTTGGTCTGATTGGTGCTTTTTACGGACCCTCCCTCCGATCCCCGACCCTTCCCTATATCCGCTATTCGGTACGTATGTTATACTACTACATGAGAAATTTCTCCAATTTGATTGGCTTCGAGCAGTGGTATTTCAGCTTAATTTGAAATACCTACATGTGAAAATTACAAAACCTTTGCGGGTAGTAGCATAAACAAATAATACCACGAGTGATATTTCGAAATTGAGTGTTATTTGTAATTTCACGAGCCGTTAGGCGAGTGAAATTTGAGACGATTTTGAAATACCACGAGTGGTATTTATGCCAAATATCACTACAAATCATGCTATTACCTATAAAATTTCGAAGTTCATAATACTGTATACATGTCTCTTCTGAATAAAGCAGCTTTTATCCAGCGCTCTTCAAGTGGATTTGAATTCCGGCTTTTGCAATCATTTCTCTTCATGCTCTTCATCCATCGCCAGGCACAACACTAAATAAAGATCGTGGTCACTGATTTGAAGAATCCAGCTCTTTGTGCCCGGCTAATGACAGCCCACCAGAAGTTGCTCAATTTACCTGTGTTGAAACTGCAACTGTAAACAGAAAGTCGCTCGTGTTATTCAAGAAAGCTGGAAGCTATCAAGTCTAAAATTCGCTTTTTTCGCAAATTCAAAACAATCCCGAAATCTACTTCTCGCGAAAACTGGAATGCAAGAAAAATAAAAGTTGCGAAATTTAGCACTATGTCACGTTACAAAACCAAAAATAATTCTTAAAGTTGCTGTAAATCGTGGACGTGATGGCATGGCGATGATTTTAGGTAATTTCAAACATTGTTCTTCTTCTCAGTAGACTTTTCCATGTTATCTGCCTGCTTCACTGTCATCTGTGCTCTACTGTACAAATCTTTCAAAACCGTCTTTGGCACATTCACTAAACTTTATGGCCGGGTCTCTCTTTAATTTTGGCGCTGGTCTTTTTCATCAGCAGATCAAAGAATGGTATTGTACCCTTTGTAACATCGGTGTTTGTTCCCCCAAACTCGCGGAATACCATTTATGAATTTTCGTACGCAAATTTGTAAGAATAAGATTCACTCTAGACGTATATCTACAAATTGTGTTTTGGTGTGGGGAATGTTTATAGTCCAATATTTTCTTCAAATTAGGGACTTTAAGATTCAACGACGCGACGGCAACGAAAACGTCTAAAATAAAGGGTTTAATAAACAAAACAACAACTTTACACATGCATCACGCTTTTTTGTACATTTCTTTGCCGTTTTTGCACAAGTAAGACGTGAAAATGCCTAATTTCGTGTTTTATGGACAACGTAAACAAGCAACGAAGACATTTTATTTCGCTTTCTGAAATAAATTGAGTATGGTCCCTTGTAATTCAAATTCGAGAGGGTTGGCGTACATTTGACCAAGTAAGTAACTGGGAATAATCGCGATAAAGAATGAAGGACGCAAATTTACTTTTTAAGTGACGTTTTCGTTGCTGACGCGTCGTTGGATCTTAAAGTCCCTTTCAACTTTTTAGTGAAGAAAGTACTCGCGCGCGAGGGAACCCGCACCCACAGCCGCGCGCGCCGTTATTTGCGTGTCTCGCGCCTGTCGCTCCACGGACTGAAATAATAGACACTGCTCGTAGAGTCTAGGTACTGTTACGATCTGTTAGGTTACATTAACTCGAAAAACTGACCTTGTGCCGCCTGTTTTTGACCGAGTAGAGAAAAGCTCACCTTTAATTCTTCTTTTTAGATTCTGTTGGCAACTGTACGTGGACGAATTTTATTCTTGTGCCGGACAAACCAATGGCGACAAGAGGCTGATTCAGACAGGCTCCCAAACAGAGCGGTTGCTCTCCAATGTCTAGAACACTTAGCAGATCTCCGGTTCTGACATTACACAGTCGAAGGAAGTTGTCCCCACTGCAGCATACCAGAGATTCGTCATCTAAAAACTTACATTCAATAATGTCGTTCTGGTCTCTAAGAAGAACGTGCAGTGTTTCTCCAGTATCTGCGTCAAGAACATGTAGACCTTGACCTTCGTCGAGAGTGTTCCACGTAACAACAAACTCATCCTTGGGAGAGAAAATCATGTGTTCGTCGCGAACATATGAATTATCCGCGATTCGTTCCCATTTAACTGATCCTTTGTTGAATAAACTAACTGTGACCTCCCCCTCGTCTATAGGTCCCCTGGATCGCCCTTCAAAACGGCAAACCAAAACATTGCTCGGACTATTGCATGAAATGTTATATAAGTATCCTCCTTTGTCGTAACTTGTGAACCTTAGCGAGGACACAAGCTTTCCTCCCTGAACGCTGGTTGTGCTTATAAAGTCAAGAGAATACTCTCTACAATTTTCGAGAGGTGTACACTCTAACAAGTCGTGGTGTAAGTTTTCGTTTTCTTTAGATTCTTGTAGACTTCTGATATAAATTGATTCCCGTGATTGTGGTGAATAATAAAAGGCTATCAGTTCATCTGATACTGGCATCAAGGTTACTGAATACACAATATTAGTGTCACTGGTAAGTTTAACAATACTTCGAATGCACTCCGACAAGTCGAAATTCCACAACTCTGCTACACGATCATTTTTAAAGAGTACAAGACCTTCCTTCGTCGGAACGATCGACACAGGGCCAAAGAATGTCTTTGTCTTCAGAAATTCCCGACTTGACAGTTTCCAGATAGTTATCTTTACCTCTTCTGAGCTAAAGTAGACAAACTGGCGTGAACTTACGACGTATACTGCATCGCCTTCCATAGAAAAAATAATCTTCCTGACACCCACGTTAAAGCTCGAGGAGTAAGTCGAGTCGGACTCGCTTTGCAGTAGACCAACATTTAAAATCGTAACGTATTTGTGATCTGGGCTACCAACCAAAATTGTTTCATTGTTGAGACTGATGTAGGAACCTGCGAACAAATATGGAATCTCTCTCTGCACCTTCGACGCCCAGGAAGGTCCTTCATCCTGCTCCATAAAAGTACATTCAGTCAAAGCGCTTGGTGGAGCAGAGGGCCATAACACGAAGGTTCTGGGATCAACAGGTTCAAAATGTGGATCTGGCAGGGAAAAAGGAAAGGAAAGGAAAGGAAACTGTTGGTTTTCTTTCTTCAGGTTCTAACGCATCAAACGGGCATGTGTAGTCCTCGCAAGAGGCTAATAGACATCCACAAACCAGAGTATCATTATCGGATGTGAAATGCATCAACCCACACACCCAGTTATCTTTACCAGCGTCAGGGAATCTCAAACCAAACCCGTCTATTAGGTAAAAAATAGTAATCTTACCATTCGCTTCAGAAATAGCGATACGTGACCCATCGCCAGAAATAGTAAAGGATGAAATTTCCTTATCCGAATCGATAATAACTTTGAGCTTCTGGCCATTCTCCATATCCCAAATGATTATCTGCTTTGGATCATGTGGGCAATCTGTAAATATCACTTCCTTATCTTTATAAGATCGTAAGAAGCAATATGAAAATGTGCAGTCACTGTCCGGGAAAAGATCTTCCCTATCTCCACTAATGGTGTAAACATATTTAAGAGTTCCTGGTATTATCGACTTCCCATTTGGATGAAATGTGACAGAATGATAAAATGACAGAAAATGCCCAGTTTGTCGATATGCACCACTACCCGCATATGCCTCTTTGGAACTATACGTTCTATTTGTTAGCGAAGGACGAACCCATACTTTGGTACCAGTCAGCAGGGAAAAGAGATGGATTGTTTCATCTCGACACTCGCATACCAGGTAATCCAATTTAGGTGAGACATCAAAACATGCGATTTTATCTGAACAGTAAAATCGTCCCTGAACGGCTTTTTCCTTTTGCTTGTCATTATCTAAGTACTTCATGCATGGCATTTTGGGAGTTAATGACTCAACAATACCTGCTGCTATAGACGACAATTCAGGGGTACCTTCGTTAATCAAACACTGGAAAAATAGGTGAGGGTAATCAAACAAGATGTAAGAGTATTTTCTTAGAAGTCTGAGGAGAGAAGTTACAACAAAATCTCTTTCCTCGCTTACTCTTCTGGAATTCTCACGGTGCAGGCTAAGAAGATCTTCTATGGCTGTTGTGCTCTTAACACAAAGCTTTGCATAAATTAGCTCTAAGTCCGTTGCGTATCGGTACACCTGTTCTGCTGTAACACTACTGGTTCTTGTTTTGTCAGCGCAGTCATGATCGGTGACCTCAAGCATGTGCTGAGTACCATGATGCAAAGCATATGTTTCAGTAGTCGAAAACTGTTTGCTATGAACCCCTTTTCGCTGCAAGCTTTCGAGTTCAGAAGCACAGAGATCAGAAAGGACAATATGACCTTCTTTCTCGTCCACGGTGAAATCATGTTGTTCATAGGGCAATGATGCTACTAGCCAGTCCTTGATTGACTTGTGAAAGAAGTGAAGACGAACCTCCCGAACTGGTAACAGTGTAGAGATGCAAGATATCGCTTTGTTAACTTTTCGTTGCGCAGTCAAAGATTTTTCTCCCGGGTTTAGAATTTTGACAATGAATTCTACTGGTAATGGTTCCCTTGCAGCGGTCAATGCACACAGGAAACGCAAAAAATGTTCCTCATCTGCATTAAGCTCTTTGCAAAGTTTATCCTCTAACCGTGTAAAATAGGACAAGTAAACAGATGAAATATCTGAAGGTAACACACTTTCCAGCTGATCAGGACTGAGAATTGAAACATTCTTTTGGATAAAATCCACTATAAAGTAAGCGTAAATAAACAGGCCTTCTGATTTCTTGACCAGCTCCTTCAAGAGAACATGTTTATGCTCCTCACCAATTTTGAGGCTGAGTTGTCTTTCAAACAAGGTTTGAATGTCCTTTAAGTTTTCTTCTTGTTTTTGTTCAAGCTCTATTGGTTTCAAATGTCGCAACGCCTCTGTAACGTTCTTCTCTGGACGAGTTGTGATCAAAATTCTAATCCAGACTGGAAGCATAGAGAAATGGTTACTGATTACATGTAGAAGCTCATTGCGTCCTTTGTACTCGCTTTCATCGAGGCCATCTATGACTATTAGGATGTTTCTTCCAGGATCTTGCACTGTGCTTAGAAGCTCTTTAAACAGCAACGCAAACAGCTCTTTTACACCCATGTTGTTGAGGTCTTTACCCAGATTTCTTGACAGCTGTTCCACTAAAGCATCTTTGTAACTTGGCATCGCTTGACACAAGTGACAGGCCAAAGACTGGAGCATTAAACGTGGATCTCGGTACCGTGAATCGTCATGCTGACAAAAGTGGATTCCCGAGAGTCTTCCAGCTTTTTTAATTCTTTGCGAAACAACAGCGGAGATAACAGTCTTTCCCATCCCTGGATTTCCACTGATTACCATCGCCCGATGTGGCGAGCTCCGGTCGTCCAACCAGTCTTCGATGCTTTTGAAGATCCACTCACGAGTTCCTTCCTGGAATTTCTTTGCATGATACTCTATATCTCCTTTGAATTCAAACTTCACAAGGGTCCTAAGTACCTCATCTGCGTGCTCGCTTTTCGTTTTCGTCAAGCTTTTTACTTCCTGTTTTACTTCTTGGATTGATTCACGAATTTCGTCCACAGCTTGGCTGGTTTTAGTTTGGGACTCACACACTCCCTCTAAACGTGACATGCTTTCCTGGTGTGCTGCCGTCAATTCTTGATGTCTTTTGAGTTCTACGTCCACTGCTTCATCTACAACATCCTGAGTTTTGCTTAGGGCTTGACGTAGCTCTTCCATGTTTAAATTGCCATCTTCAACTGTTTTACTGAGTTTTGGTTGCGTCTCGTGGATGTCTTTCAACTGCGTTTTTATGTCCTCTTCACTGTCAGCCCACTCAATTAAGGCATCAAGGTAATCTTCCTCTGCTCCATGCTCTGCCTTCAGTCTGTCAATTTCAGCTTGATCTAAACCCAGCGAATGAAGACTAATGCTTATTTCATGCCAGAAGGAGGAGAAAGATGTCGCATCAACCCCTGTGGACGTCACGTGACCATACAACTCATTCCGGAAGAACTTAACACGAGCAAGGTTAGCCTCGAGAGTGTTATCACCAGGGGGCGGCTTGGTGTGCCATCCTGTCAGGGGAGGGGATAAGCCGCAGATGGTAGTTAGCAGCAGGAACAGAAGAGTGATGTCAAACGTGTTGGAGTCTGGCACCCCTCCACCAGGGGGGAAGAGTTTGTCCCACTGATGGCCATTTAGTACTCTTTTACGCAAAAGGTTGTTAAGAATGGAGTAATTGGAATTGAGATCAGAAGTCAAGTTGACAGGTGGGTGATAGTGATCGAAAATATTCCTCAGCGCCGTTGTTCCGCCATCGATGAGAAGCCTGCTCAGCTTGTTTCCATTTGTCTTCGCTGGAGAACTGGCCAGGGGTGAAGATGCTGCAGTCGCCATTTAGCAAATTTAATGTAGAAGAAAACGTTCATGTCTTGGAAATTCATTCTTAACCTACATTGGCAAGAAAGATAAAACGTGAGTCACATCTCAACGATCAACTCGCTCCGTGATTGCTTTCATTTGTTTTGTTTTTTATTTTTATTTTCATGGTTACCAGACCATGAAACTTTACAAACGAAGTCACGCGTAAAGGAGTTGGCGAATATTGTTTGTAATCCGTACAAATTAGAAATATGACAATTAGGAAAGAGTGACTGGCATGACTATTATAAGGAAAAACCAATGCTTTCAAGAAGGGTGTTTAACACGTTTGCTGTCGAGGGTATTTAGTGAACACAACAACTAGATTTACGATTGTGGACGATTTGAGTTGGTTAACCGAGCGCATTATATTTTTATATTTTTATATTATAGTTTCGTTGGTTAAATTACAACTGACAGGGCTTTTCCTTTTTGCGTGGAAGCAAGTACATAAGAAGTTCAGAAATCATTTACTACCAGATTGTTTGTTAGAACCAAGCATTATGCATTATCGGTTTATCAGTATCGGTTTATTGAATTCCAAAGAGAACAACACGATGATGCAAAAAATCTACCTAAGCAACACAACACTGACGTACAAACAGATAAGAAAACTTACAACAACTCAGACATGGACCATATCAAGTTTCTTATATCCGCGACACTCAAATATAAGAAGATAACTGAGCACACCCTTACTGTTATCATAATTATATTGCATGTAGTATTACATATATTTTCAATGTTGCAGTACGGTAATCCATATTGACTCCATGGCAATTAGCTTTATCGACCTTGTAAGTCATCATTTGACTGTATACACTCAGAATCGATATGACCACTAGCTTTCAGAAAAAGGGGTGGTATGCTACGACTTATAATATGTGTGTGTATTTGAACTGGCTGGTCACGCAGGCGTTCATGACTAAAACCGCGACCTAGTTTCGTCACTGAGGCGGAAATGTGAACATATGTCTCCTCATTACTGAGGGTCGCAAAGAATATTCCTTCGTTCGATATTATTAACTCTGGTCATGACTTCTGCTAGATATCGAGCACATTAGCTAATGGCGACAGAAGCTTTGAATTAAAAACTACATTGAGCTTGTAGCTAGAAGCTAATAGAGCTTAACAGAATTTAAGGTCAATTATGATATTTGCTTCATAAATTGTTTATCAGTTTATTGCTAAAAATCTTCTGGAAACTTTGAAGGTTGCAAGGTGTCGGCATCAACTGGAATTTTTCAGAATCCCGAAAATCAAAAGTGATATAGATAAAACTACACTCCCGCCGTAGTAATAAATGCTCTGTGCAACGACCTGTGGGGTACACAAGGCCCTGAAGCTAATCTTTAATTAAGTTACCTTTCTGCTGCCACATTGTCTTGCGAAGCCTCTTCCATGTAGATTCCTGTCCATGTTTCACAAAGAAACAAAGTGTTCTAAGTGACGTGGCCCATCGATGAATCTAAAATTTAGAACGTTTAAGCATGACCAAGCTTTTGTTTGCATTTGCATAGACTGATCGTGTTTGACTGTTTCGAAAACTTTCAAATTAGAAGGAAGGAGTGTCATTTTTGTTTTGCTTCAATGAGCGCCAGTGGGCAAACGCTTATTTATAATCCAACAAAATACGTCATAGTCCAAGATTGGGGGCGAAAAAGTAAAGGGCGCGCGAGGGTGACACGCCACGCAGGCTATGTCCCACCGACTCATTTCTCTTCGACAGAATTGTCGTCACTGATAATAGTAGTTTAGAGAAGCTCTTGATCGAGGATTACAATAATGAAAAAGAAAAGAAACAACATCAGAAATCACCCTCTTACGATGCTCTCTTGCTCTTACTCAAGTTTCGCAGAGGTCAGGGTTCCAATCTCGGCAAACCTGATTTTTTTCAGGCTTTGTTTTTTCAACTGCATAAGCTGCGTACATATTTAACTGTGATGACCTTCTCCGCATTTATTTCTGCATAATTAATTCCTCACTCCTGAGACCACAAGGGTAATGGGTACAAGCCTTCGGCGTAATGATTTCTGGGATAGTTTTGGTGGACAAGTGTTAGCTATGATTGGTCGATGGTATTCAAGGCAACCATTAGCCAATCATTAGTAACGCTTGTCCTCCCATACTATCCCAGAAATCGTTGCGCCTAAAGCTTATACTCATTCCTTTATAGTTTCTGGAGTGCTGGGAAACTTTACATAAAGGTCGAGGAAGGTGAGTAGAAAGCTAACTATCGTTGCAATATCTCCACTTGCTCTTTAAGAGACACCAACAGCAAACTCACTATTCCTCTTCCCTTTTCAAACCTTATGAAAAATAGTTTCGGTTCCTCTGGAGCAGTTCAATGGTTATTGGAAGCAGGACTCGACTCCGTCCGTTTGAGAGAACCCCGGAAGTCCCTACCGACCAACAACATGTGATTTTCATTAATCCCTGAAATTCTAGGTTGCTGCGCCTGCCATTGCTCTTGCGGTTTAAAACAATAGGTTTTATTAGCAAAACAACAACTTTGCACGTACACCGTGCTTTTTTGTATATTTCTCTGCCGTTTTTGCACGACTACGACGTGAACATGCGTAATTTCGCTTTTTACGGAGGACGTAAACAAGCAACGACGAAATTTAACATCTCTTTTTGTTCTCGGATATGGTGCCTACGAATTCAACTCCAGGAGGGTTCGCCTACATTTGACAAAGTAAGTGGGTAGGAATAACTGCGATATAGACTGACAGAACGCAAATTCACTTTTTGAGCGACGTTCTCATTGCCGTCGCGTCGTTGGATCTTAAAGTCCCTATTAACAAATAAAGAAGCCTAGACTGTACTTTGATCTGTTGTAAGGCACTTAGGAAGCGGCTAGAGCACTCAAGAAGTGTAGGAGGAAACGTGAAAAACGTAGTTTAGTGTTTCTCCCTACTTCTTAAGTACTCTAGCCGCTTCTTAAGTGCTTTACAACAGAACAGAGCGCAGTCAAAGCTCTTTTATTTGCCTTATGATAAAGAATCCGTTAAATTCCCCTCGCGTTACTTTCTAATTTTTAAAAGAAATTATTGGCACATGGCGTGACAGCTTTAGCTTCGTGTTTAATATCTCATAAAGCACCCTTTTTCAACCAATCAGCGTGCGCGTTATATCTGAACTTGATTACAAACAGAGATAGAAGATAGCTACTTTACCTAAGGTCGATTACGTAGGGAGTGGTTGCCCAGTCTCCCAAGCAAGGTACTCAGGTAAAAAAACGCTCTACCAAATAGTGTAAAATGTATTCTTATCTGAAAATTTCCCTTTTGAATTTTTTAATAAGAAGAAAAAACTCAAGGAGAATAGGAAACCCGGCTGACGAGCTTTCCGGGATAAGTACCTCTTGCATATTAGCCTCGTTTTGGTCTCGGTACTGTAAATTACGGACCAAGGTTTTTTATCGATTTTTTTCCCCTTGGGCCATAAATTGATCGAAAGAAAACAAGGTGTCTTAATTTTAAAGTGCGGACAGAGAAAACGAGGCTAATAAGATGTCTGTTGTATGACTTCCTGTTTGGGGACCGGAAACAAGTGCAGGACAAGTGATGCGACAGTAATTTGACAGGCTTCAGAAAATAAAATTTTTATTGGCTCACGAAAAAAAAACTAGGAGCTTGTCTAGGTAAGTCTGTTATCATTGCTGAACGATTCGCTCGTTTTTCATTAAAGAAACGTCTCCAATTCTTCCAGTCCATTCTCGTCTTTTTAGCCTTGACCTGCGATTAAATTTTCGATTACTGACTAGAATTCTCTTCTTCGGTAAGATTACGAATCAGTTTCTTCATCAGCTTCGTTCTCAAATAAACACAGGCTAAAACGTGGAGGGACGAAGTCAACATCTAAGTTCTCAGGGTTTACAGACATATCCTTTGCTTAAAATATTTTTCTCGCGAAAAAAAAATTAGAACCGCAAAATGAGTATTTGATTTTGAAATTTAGGTCCCTAAAGTAAGTTATGAACCGCAAATTGACCAATTGCAGGGTGAAAACAGACTTAATTAGCCTTATAATAACGAGAGATTTTTGTCTCCCAATTTACAATAATAAGTAAGTATGGAATAAGACGCAGATGTCGTAGTAACGAAGTGCCAAAGGACGGTAAGACACAATGCAGACTCATCGTAGACACAATGTTACATCGTAGTAAGGGAGTGCCAAAGAACCGTCAGTTAATTACAACAGTACCCCCGTACGCCCGTTAAAATTAGTACATTCTCCTAGTCTCCTGACAGCTCGTTGTATCGGAATTCCAATCTACAAAATACTTTTTTAAAACAACTTGACTTCAACAGCCGTGTAGAGGATTTAATATATGCTAAACGAAATATCGGAATGCGAGTTATAAATATGGATTAACTGCTACCGATTTTGCAGGAAAAAAGCGCGCGTTTCAGGCCCCTTAGTTCTCCCATAAATGAGAAGTAACATTGGATCGAGCGAGCTTGCTTAACCTTCTCCTTACTGCAAAAGGATCTGACTGTTTTCACTGTTATACAGTAACAACAACCATTTGAACATTTTCGTGGGTGGATCTGGGTAATTTTGTGTTGAAGCTCTGTAACTGCTTATGATTCCCACGGTATGGCCGTTGCACATTACAGTAGTTTCTATAGACAGCTTGCGTCAACTTCGAATACCCTTTATACCATGATACATGAAGCATAGGCAAAATTCTGCTGATATTCTCATAACCTATTTCTACGATTGTTAGGTGATAGTTAGTGATAACTGTGGTCTAGATTTCGTCAGTCTGATTAATATTTGATGATACCACGGTTGAGAGTGCAAAGAAAATTTCATTCATTTTTTGTAACCTTCGAGATAAACGTTTTTATGCTACTCTCCAGGCTGTTTTAATTTCAAAGCAATCGAATCGGTTAATTACTTAAACATTCTGATCTTAATAGCTGCATTAAGGGGACCTTCCTCTGTAACCCTACCTCCTCCCTCCTGTGATGATATGAAAATTAAAATATGTCTAACTTGAAAACTAAAATCCAGTCCCTCAAGGTTGTTCCAATGGATTTCAATCTCCGCTGTACAATTGCTTCTTCAGTGTTCGCGGAGCTCCCTCAACGAGTTCTTAGAAACGCAGTTAAGTTCAGGGACGATGATTTGACAATCCAACTCTTTTCGTCAAGTGTCAGCTCTTCTGAGACTTCTAAGGAGGTTAATTCAATGGTGTTTGATAACTGAGGCTGCAATTCAATTGAAGTTATGAAAGTCGTTAGTTTCATGTTAAGACCCACAGATGCGTTACACTGGTCATTATGGGACTAGGCAGCTATGAAGCACCCAAGATAGACAGCCCTGCATTGTGCGGTGGAAGATCTAAGAAAAAAGGATTTCTACACCTAAACCGCGTTAAAACTCTCGAAAGTGGTTTTACAACCAACTCAAACCAACAGGTACCAACAGGAACTATCATGTTGTTGCCTGAGTTCAGTGGACACCGTCACTACGACTCAGCATTTACTTTGACCAAAGAAAACACACACTCATTTTCTTATCTGAAAACCTTTTTTATACGATGGAATTTTCATGGCACAACGAGGATTGGTTTTTGGGGGTTTCACTATATAGTTAATCTACCGCGATGACCAAGGAACTGATAAAAGAAACTAACCTTGCAGTCTTTTTAGTTTCTTTTGGCAACTGTACGTGGACGAATTTTCTTCTTGTCGCGGACAAACCAATGGCGACAAGAGGCTGGTACAGACAGGCTCCCAAACAGAAAGGTTGCTCTCCAATGTCTAGAATACTCAGCAGAACTCCAGCTCTGACATTATACAGTCGAAGGAAGTTGTCCTCACTGCAGCATACCAGAGATTCATCATCGAGAAACTTACAATCAACAATGTCATTTTGGTCTCCAAGGAAGACGTGTAGTGTCTCTCCCGTATCTGCATAAAGTATATGCAGGCCATGACCTTCTTCAAGAGTGTTCCAAGTGACAACAAATTCATGTTCAGAGGAACAGAGCACGCCTGACATTATACCCATTGGATCGATCCAGGACGCCGTTCTTTCCCACAAAATCAAATTATTTCTCCTTAAACTGACTTTTACTTCCACTAATAACACGTTGAACACTTCTGTCTCTTTAGAGGTGCAAACTAGTACTTCACTTGAATTAATGCAAAAAACTGAAAGTATCTCCTCACCAGCATCCAAAACGGTGTTCAGCGATGAAACGGTCGTGCTTTTAGCACGGTTAACGCCCAAGTAATTGATAATCAGCTTGCTCTTAGTCAGGTAGTCCTGGGAATCAGACCGTTCGTCCATATAATCAGGCCAGTCACATGAATTATCGGAATCCTGATCCTCCAGATCCTCTGAATCCTCTGACGATTCGTAAAATGGTACCGAAGAACAACAGGCTATCAGTTCCCCTGAAACAGAAGAAACAATGTCGCATCCGGTAACTTTGGGAAGAGGTCTAAGACAAGTAGACTTATCAAAGCTCCATAACTCTGCGACTCTGTCATGTTTTAAAAGTACGATACCATCCCTCGTTGGAAAGATGGAAACGGAGTCAAGGAAAACTCTTGTGTTCACTAGGTCACGACTTGACATTCTCAAAACAGTTACTTTCACTTCTCTTTCAGGGACTGGAACAACTGAATAAATGGCATCTCCTTCAAGAGAAAAGGCAATCTGTTTGACATCTCTTCCCTCTATCGAGGCGAACGCCATCCCATGGACAGTATTTACCATTGTGACGTATTTACAAGCTGGGCTACCAACCAATGCCGACTCATCATCGAGTTTGATGTAGGAACCTGCATGCAGACAATGTTTGGGGATTATGGTCTCCATTATAAAATCATACCATACGTCCAAAGTGCCTGACGAATTGTATGGCCATAACCTAAAAGTTTTAAATTGAAGAGGTTCCAAATCGGAATCGGAATTACCAGTGATACTTATGAAACTTGGTGGTCCATAAAAGAAACCTTTATATGAGCCACGGTGTTCCTCGAAATCAAAATCAAGAAACCCGCAAACAAGACTGTTCTTATCGGATGTGAAATACATCAGCCCACAAACCACCAAGCTAGTTTCTAGAATCATCTGGAAACTTTTGTTAACTCGGTCAAACAGAATAACTTCACAAGTCACTTGGGAAAAAGCAAATTGTGACCCAGGTTAAGACGAAATTTGAAAAAATACATTTGCTGTTGGGGAAAAGGTCCTTCCTCTCTCCACTTAGAGTATACACAAATTGGAGTGTCCCTGCTAGCACAGATTTCACATTTGGATGAAACGTCACAGAACGGTAATAAGACAAAGAATGTTTACCTACACTACGGTATGCAGTGTTGTCGGGATATCCAGAATAGAACTCTTTTTTCGTTAATGTCGGTCGAACCCATATCTTGTTGCCTGTCTGAAGAGACCACAGATGGATAGTTCCATCTCGACACTCGCACACAATAAAATCCATTTCAGGTGAAACATCAAAACAGACGATTTTGTCTGAACACTCAAATCTTGCCTGGTCGGCTCCCTTCTGTTCTTCTGCGTCTAGGTATTTCATGTACGCTATTTGGGGCACTGAGGACTCAAGGATAACTGCAGCTGAAGATGATAATTCAGGAATCCCTTCGTTAACTAAACATTGGAAAAACAGGTGAGGGTGATCAACCAAGATATAAGAGTGTTTTTTTAGAAGACTAAGAAGAGAAGTCGCAACGAACTCTCTTTCATCGCTTAATAAACTGCAATTTTGACTGTGAAGACTGAGAAGATCTTCTGTAGCGAATGTGCTCGTAACTTTAAGTTTCGCATAAACAAGCTCCAGGTCCGTTGCGTATTTGTAGACCTGTTCTGCTGTGACACTATTGGTTCTTGTTTCGCCAGCGCAGTCATGATAGTTCACCACCTGAAGCATGTGCTGGCTACCATGATGCAATGCATATGATTCAGTATTCGTAAACTGTTTGCCATGAACCCCTTTTCGCTGAAAGCTATCGAGTTCAGAAGCACAAAGATCAGAAAGGACGTAATGACCTTCTTTCTCGTCCACCGTGAAATCATGCTGTTCATAAGGCAATGATGCTATTAACCAGTCCTTGATTGACTTGTGAAAGAAGTGAAGACGACCCTCCCGAACTGGTAACAGTGTAGAGATGGAAGATATTGCTTTTTTAACTTTTCTTTGCGCAGTCAATGATTTTCCTCCAGGGTTTAGAATTTTGGCAATGAATTCTACTGGTAATGGTTCCCTTGCAGCGGTCAATGCACACAGGAAACGCAAAAAATGCTCCTCATCTGCCTTAAGCTCTTTGCAAAGTTCATTCTCTAACCGTTTGAAATAGGACAAGTAAACGGATAAAATACCTGAAGGCAATACGCTTTCCAGCTGATCAGGAGTGAGAATTGAAACATTCTTTTGGATAAAATCCACTATAAAATAAGCGTAAATAAAAAGGCCTTCTCATTTCTTAACCGGCTCTTTCAAGAGAACATCTTTATGCTCTTCACCAATTTTGTTGCTGAGTTGATTTTCAAACAAGGTTTGAATGTCATTTAAGTTTTCCTCACGCTTTTGATCAAGCTCAATAGGCTCTAAGTGTCGCAATGCCTCTGTTATGCTCCTCTCTGGACGAGTTGTGATCAAAATTCTAATCCAAACTGGAAGCATAGAAAAGTGGTTACTGATTACATGTAGAAGCTCATTTCGTCCTTGCTACTCGCTTTCATCGAGGCCATCTATAACTATTAGGGTGTTTCTTCCAGGATCTTGTACTGTGCTCAGAGGCTCTTTGAACAGCAACGCAAACAGTTCTTCTACACCCATGTTGTTGAGGTCTTTTCCCAGATTTCTTGACAGCTGTTCTTCCAGAGTATCTTTGTAACTTGGCATCGCTTGACACAAGTGACAGGCCAAAGACTGGAGCATTAAATGCGGATCTCGGTACCTTGAATTGTTATGCTGACAAAAGTGGCTTCCCGAGAGTCTTCCAACCTTTTGCATTCTTTGCGAAACAACAGCGGAGATAACAGTCTTTCCCATCCCTGGATTTCCACTGATTACCATCACCCGATGTGGCGATGCTCGGTCATCTAACGGCTTCAATACTTTCGAAGATCCACTCACGAGTGCCTTCCTGGAATTTGTTTGCATGAAATTCTATGTCTCCTTTGAATTCCAACTTCACAAGAGTTCTTAGCACTTCATCTGCGTGCTCGTTTCTCTTTTTCGTCAAGCTTTTTACTTCCTCTTTTACCTCTTGAATTGACGCACGAATTTCGTCTTGGGACTCACACACTCCCTCTAAACGTGACTGTGCTGCCCTCATTTCTTGTTGTCCTTTGAGTTCTATTTCCACTGCTTCATCTAAGACATCCTGAGTTTTGCTTAGGGCAACTGCATCGAGAAGGTAGAAATTTAACGATAGAAGTTGACAAAATGACTCAAATTCAACGCAGACCACCTATAGGAAGTCGACACAAAAATACAGGAGAAGTGACACAGCCCACTCAATTAAGGCATCAAAGTAATCTTTCTCTCCTCCCTGCTCTGCCTTCAGTCTGTCAATTTCAGCTTGATCTAAACCGAGCGAATAAAGAGTGGTGCTTATTTCTTGCCAAAATGTAGAGAAAGATGTCGCATCAACCCCTGTGGACGTCACGTGACCATACAACTCATTGCGAAAGAACTTAACGCGAGCAAGGTTAGCCTCAACAGAGTTGTCACCAGGGGATGGCTTGGTGTGCCATCCTGTCAGGGGAGGGGTTAAACTACAAATGTTGGTTAGTAGAAGGAACAGAAGAGTGATGTCAAACGTGTTGGAGTCTGGTAGCCCTCCACCAGAAGGGAAGAGTTTGTCCCACTGCTGGCCATTTAGAACTCTTTTGCGCAAAAGGGTACTAAGAATAGAGTAATTGGAATTGAGATCAGAAGTTAAGTTAGCAGGAGGGTGAATAGCATCGAAAATATTCCTCAACACCGTTGTTCCACCATCAATAAGCAGTCTGCTCAGCTTGTTTCCATTTGTCTTCTCTCTTGAGCTGGCCAGGGGTGAAGGTGCTGCTGTCGCCATTTAGCAACCTTGATGCAAAAGATATTCATGTCTTGGAAATTCATTCTGAAAAATATAACGTGGGTCACACTGCAACGATTAACTCGCTCCGTCACCGTTTTTGCTTTGTTTTTATGATTACAATACCGTGAAACTAACACCAAGTCATCCGTAAAGAGAGTTAGCGAATATTGTCAATACGTGACTGTTGATAGGAATACGATCATGATTATATATATATGTTGTGGTTCAAATTTTCTCTTGGTTTAAAATTTTTCAAACCACTTTAATTTTCACTTTCCTTTGTCTAAAATCAATTACCGTAATCAGAGACATAGAAAAACAAAAGTTAAACTGGTTTTAAAAATTTTAAACCAAGGAAAAAAACCACAACATATATAAAATTTACAACCAATCCCCTCAAGTAGGGTGTTTAGCTTATTAGCTGTCGAGGGTATTTAGTGCAATGAACCGAACTGGAATTACGATCGTGGTTGATTTGAGTTGGCTAGCCGAGCGCATTAAAAGGACAAGAGCTGTGAAGTTCCAAAGTTCCGCTTTACTAGATATTCAGTGAGCTATTAATAGTAATTGCTTTAATTATACATGGCGTTTCCTTTGTGCATAGAAGCAAATACGTAACATAAAAGTTTGGAAATCATTTACTGCCAGGTCGTTTGTTAGATCCAAACATTATACGTTATCATTTTATTTGAAGCCAACTGAATGAACAAATTATCGGTCTATTGAATTGCAAAGGGGAGGGGGGGGGGGGGGGGAAAAAATATACCTAGGAAACACAACACAAACGAGCAAAAAAAAGTGGGAAATTGAAAAAAAAAAAACAAAAAGACCAAATTAATTTTCCTATATCCACCACACTCAATTTGAAAAAGAAAGTCACTCTTTACCTTC